AAAACAAAAGAAATCAGCCCGGCTAACAAGGCCAGCCCGGCTCATGTAATTAGGCCCTTAGACATGATTATCCTGCCAACGTTCCACGGCCGGGTCGCTCCGCGAACTCAAGATAGCAAAAGAATCAAATGATTTAGGCAAGGTCTCACTCGAATCAAATGAGTAATCAGTGAACAGAAAAGTCTAGTCTAGTCTAGTCTTAGTCTATTGGTGATGGGCCTTCCCTTTGATAGACTTTAATAAAATGTAGATGTAGATGTAAAGTGTGAACAGAATGACAAAAAAACATTTGCTGATTAGGTAAAGACAAGGTGCCTCGTGATCAAACCCTAGGAACTTTCATCAAAGTGAGGATAAACGTAGTTGTTATATTTATGTGACCTTTATCGTTATTATTAGGCTTACATTTGTTATGTTTTTGCTCAAACAGAGTACCGTTATCAGCTGTTAATTTTCAATTTTGTGCATACATTATATTCGCTTATTGTTGTGCGGGAATATGCTTGTTTGGTACCAAAGTATGGTGTCTAACGCGATAATGTATTAGACAAAGTAGCGCCATGTATACAACAAAAGTGGGACGAATCAGCGTTGTGTGTACAAAAAATTTATTTTGTAAGAGAAATAAAACATGCAAAAGAATTCAGGTCTCGTCATGCAATGTTTGTTAATTGTCGTAATATTCACAATGGTGAGCATATGATGTGCGAAGACGATTCGATTGTGAACCCAGCAAAAAACCTGTGAAAAAAAAAAAAAAAAACTAGGAAAGCTCTTACGTAAAGACAAAAAATTATAGAAATTGGTGTACGGGCGAATTTTTAAAAACATTCTTGTCTCTTCAAAAATGTATCGCAACATCTAATGCAGATTTAGAACAAGGAGCAGTAATGACAGGCTTTGCGGTCAAATGGCCTACGACCAAATTCGCCCACGAACAAAGTAGCTGCCTACAACTGTTCAGCTCGCCTACGTTGGCGACTTAATTCGCCTCCTCACGCAGGCGAGTTCACTCAAGTAATGTATGCCTTTTAAGTGGAAATTTTTTGTGATTATAGCACGCTTTCTTGGTCATGTGAACGTCATCTTGGCATTCCTTATAGTGTTCTTGAATTTCTTCACTAGTTCACTTAGATATGTTCACTTACCAGTGAACGAGTGAACTGCCCGGTTTGTTGAGTTTAAAGTCATAATTACACGAAGTACCTACTCGCTATACTTGTTTTATTTTTGAGTTCCCAAACTCGATTGTGAACTGGCCAAATTTATAGAACAAAATTAACCCGCCTACATAGGCGGGTTAACCTTTAGTCGTAGGCGAGTTTGGTCGTAGGCGAAACGAGCGGTTACCAATGACAGTATTAAGTTTGTACAAAAGATGAGAAATGGCATTCTACACGGGCAACACTGAGTTGAAAATCGTCGAGTTGTAGAGAGTCTTTGGGCAAATAGCTATCTTTGTATAGCTGCTGTAAGACATTATCAAGTGAGTACAAGAATGCGAGCTACAGAGCGGCAGGTACAAAAAGCAGGTCACAGATCACAGGTCACAATTAAAGAGTTATACACCTGATAGAGTAAAGGCGTTGCATTATAGTGTTCCATTTCCAGTCGTCAGAAATGAACATATAATATACATGCGTTCCGGTTTTCGTGTAAGAATAGAACAATAAAATGTCACAAGTTCAACATTCTGTTGGGTGCACTGGTGTTGTTTCCTCTGTTCACAAGCTTGAAGACTTCTTTTTAATGTGCAGACAGATATAAAATTTTCTTCGAGCTATAGGGGCTTGGAACGAGTCTGTGAGAGAAGCCCGGAAAGAGGAATTCCTTCGTGCGCGTGAGAATCATGGCGGAGGAAGGAGAGGATTTTGAGGTAAGATGGTTCATACATGGTATTGATCCTACTCTAACAATCAAGGCACCATCAAGTCAACTGAAGGTGATATTATGTAGTTTGGTGAAAATCATGGCAGGGAAACAATGTGTTGCTATAAGTTTGATTGCTTTGATTTGTAATAAGAAAAAAGAAATATTTACCTGTAATGACCTGGTACAAACTTTGGGGATGGGCAATCAATAATTGTATTAAACACTGCCACAATGTACAGGGCAGGTGTATTTAATACAAACAGAATTATCGTCAATAATTGCTTTGGCTTTGTCTGAGGAAAATTACCAGCTTAATTAAATTCAGAGCTACACTGGTAGTCTACATTATTGTACCCTAGATGCAACATGAAAAGGCATACATCACTCAAATGATGATTTTTTTTTGCTTGCTGTTTGTAAACTGCACTTTGTGGTTTTGGCTTTGCGGTCAGGTTACTGAGTTCAGGGCTTGACACCAACTTTTCAACTTACTAGCCAAGTGGCTAGTGACATCTTAGATGTTTTTAGATGTTATGACAATTTCTGTCTGTTTACTAGCCAAACCGGCTTGTGGAAATTGAAAACCACTAGCCAAAACTGAATTTCCACTCACAGTCTGTGGCTAGTGGGCTACTGTTAGTGTCGAGCCCTGGAGTTGTTTCCAAAATGGCATCAACCATTGTCGAAACTTACATTTTTGAATGCCACTTGGGACAGTGTGTCAGCCATGCCAAAAATAATAAATAATAATAAATACAAATAATAATTAAAATAAT